CTATCACCTCAGCGGTGGCTAGTGTACGTAAGTGCACTGCTTTAGAGGGATTGGGGGGGGGGCACACGATAGATTAGGCCGAAAGCCGATTCTGGTCTAATTTGATGGTCTGTATTCACTAGATGACCAAGAATGGCGCTTCCTATGTTCCCTGTTCCTCCTTGTTTTAACCAGCGTGGGTAGTGTTCCTTCGTCCTTTGGGATAGTTGCCTCGCCCTGTGGCCAATGTACGTTGCACTACAAACGCACCTGAAAGAGTAGATAAGCACAGATGTGATCAGCGTAGGCAGCCTATCTTTGTGGCTAGTTCGAATGATGGGCGAATCTGTGAACACGCATGATAATCGAGCTGCGTTGCAGGTCCGTTTCAAAGCACGTGTGAGACGTTTTTTCAAGAAGTCTGATATAACATCTCCTTGAAAAGGTAGACGAATGAATAATTTCTTCTATTTGGCCTCTGAAACCTGTTCGAATTGTCGTCTTTCCTGAAAGTTTCGCCCAATGAACCGTTCAGGATAACCGTTTCTCTGAAAACGTCCTTAATTTTTGCTAGTTTTTCACTTACCATTATTCTCAGAGTGCGCCTGTCATGTGAAACTCTGGATCAGATTTCTTTTCTGTTTGAGTGGGACGAAGCTGTAAAAGCGTGTATATTGTCCCGTCCAAGTTAGTTTTCTATGTATTCGACGCACTAAAGAACCATCATCTTTTCGGAGGAGTGCCACATCTACGAAGGCCAATTTGTCGTTTTGTTCAGTTTACAACGTCACCACTACAACCACTCCAATCACAATCAATCTCAGTTGAACACAGGCACATTGGGCTTACCCCACCCTCCTCCTCTCTCCATCACAAATGACCTTTAAACCCAGCGTGAAAATGTCCCCACTAACAACAAACCCTTATATGATCTGGACAGGCACGATTATGAATCATTCGAAAACGATTGTTTGCCTTCGGACTTCTGTTCTGACGATACAATGGGATTATTGTGGAAATATTCTAAATGACTAAAACTCGGTATCTTGATGACTGAATATTTAGGACGATCCTCGCAACAAGATCGCGTTAAATATGTAAACACGCCCGGAGACTGAACAGAGAATGAAGCTATAAGGAGAATAGAAGTATTTTATGGCTCAAAAAGACGTTTTGCGGAAAAATGGGATTCATCGTTGGGCTTAACTTCATGTCTGTAGTGGTGACATTAGATATTTTAAACCGATGATATGAGGAGGTAGGAAGTGCCCACCGACCAGTATCTATGACGAATGATGAGGCTGGTTGAAGTGGTTAGCTTTCCGAAGACGAAGTTAGAAGACGGTATATGAATATGGGGAAGCTAACACGGTGAATATGAATGATTCATTCAAATCTTACCACATCCTACTACTAAGCTGCCGAAACCAGAGACAATCCATTGGTCCATAGAGACCGCTAATGCAGCTAAGGCGTACTCGGCATACCTAACTGCAGTATACCACACTGCGTTGTATTGCCGGTTGCAGATAGGATTTAGAGAGAATCACGCGGAGGCCAAAAGATAACGTTGAGACGGGGCACGAGAAAGTGAACGAATCAGTTAGGTAGAGTATTTCTCTCTCGTATTCCAGGCTGGGAGTTAGAACATCTCGTAACTGTTTGGTGGGATACATTGAAGGACATCGCAACAAACCAACAGTTGTGGAATTCTTGTTACCATTTTTTTATCAAGTCAAAATGCGTGAAGAGGTGTGTAATCAGAGTTAAAACAGGGGTTAATTTCCCTCGCTCTTCCCTCAAAACGGGTCCTTTGCCGTCCACCTCGCGTATTCGCCTTTAATTCATATATTGTGAATTTGGCAGCGAACAGTCAAGTTCGCTTCTATGTCACTGTACGATGATAACAGTGTATGGCTGACCGGACCGACGCAGTTGTGCGTGAAAATGAAGTGTTTAAAGTTTTCGGCCTAAAGTGAAGTCTATTCAGTATGAAAAGCGAGCAGGGTACCGTTTGGTAGAACATTGTTATTGAAGACACATGGCAGTTCCGATCATGTGTCAATGACACGAATCCATATGCCGGAAAAAATAATGAGTTGACAATCACTTCGTTCTTCGTGTTACTAGAGGAATTCAACTGCTTAACTGTCTCCAGTCGCTGCCAAAGTCCTTGAATATTGCTTCGTAAGCTATCTAGGAGTTAACACAAAGTCGCGAACTACTGACGCACCAAACATTAATTGCAACCAAACCACTGACGACAAATGCATGTTACCGACAAGCAAACGGATAATTGGACTAGCGAGAACTAGAAGTATTCTGCACCCTGCAATGGATATATTCGAGAAATAAAATTGAAAAGAACGAAAGTGAAACTCACTCGTTCTGCTAAGGTAGTAATATATGCCAAGTAAAAAGATAACCTTTCTGTTGAGAAATCCGGATTTAAAGGAACCAATTGGGAGGATCTTGCGGTGCCTCGCAAAAGTCCGGTTACTGCAGACCAACTCTGATGGATCAATGAGCGCATTCCCGTCTCAGCATCATCAGGGCGCGAGTAATCAGCCGCACTTGTAGGATATGACTGAAGACAAGCAAAAGAATAGGATATCGTGTGTTAACAGCACTCGATTTACGGCATAAGACAAAACAATCCCGAAACTAACGTATGACACCCAAATAACGATATCAGATGTGAACTTTACAGTAATTGCTCAAACCTACAGCTCACCGATTTTGACCTTCGCGACATCATCCGTAAAGTCAAAGGTAAAAGG